GGGCGGGGGCGGGGCGCCGGGAGGCCACGCCCGCTCCGGGCCACCTGGGTGCGCGCGGGGGGAGGGGGCTGGGGTCGCCGGGTGCGAGGGCCACCTGTCCCGGCTTCCTGGATTGAAGACAATGACAGTGACTAAGACAGTTACTGTAAATGTATTCTGTAGATCTTAGGGTGTCCGAGAAGCTGGCTACCAGTAGTGGGGAGGGGAGCCTGGGTGGAGGAAGGATTTTTGCAAAATGTAATGTCTGTCTTTTAAAATTTGCTTCATGTCCACGTTTCCTCTCCACCACTACGCATCTGTCCGTGTGTAATTAAAACATAAAAGCGATTGTCCAGTGGCGCACACTTGTCTGTAGTCCCAGCTGCTCGGGAGGCCAAGACAGGGGTATCGCCGGAGTCCAGCAGTTCTAGGCCACCCTGGGTAATATAGCCAGATCGCGTCTTATAAAAAAACTAAAAGCAATTACCAAATATAAAGAATGATTAAATAAATATATGCCTGGGGGAATGTGGGTAATTCTGTGCAGAATTCTAAACCATTTATGTAGATACTTCAAGGAGAGGCAGTAACTCCTCACACCTTACATGGAGCTGCATATAACACCGTCCTTCCAAAGAGCCAGGTATGGGAGGGAAGGGTACAACGGATGGTATACTTTCTGGGACAGGTTATGATGGTGAAAATGGCAGTTCAGCACTGTGGTTATCCCTTCCCCCAGGCCCAGAGTCTCAGTCTAATCGTAAAAATAAAAAGCCGATAAGCTTCAACTGAGGGTCATTCTACATACTACCTCAGCAGTATTCCTAGAAACCATCAAGGTCACTGGGCAGAGTGGCCAATTCCTGTAACCGCAGCACTCTAGGAGGCTTACGCAGGAGGACTGCCAATTCAAATCCAGCATGGGCAACTTGGGGAATGAGTGACACCATGTGACAAAATAAATATAAAAAAAATAAAGGACTAGAGATGTAGCCCAGTGCAAAAGTCCTACTTCAGTCCCCCTTGCTGGAAAAAAAATGTCACAACAACAACAACAACGTCTGAGAAACTTCCAGCCAAGAGGAGCATGAGGAGAATGATGACACTGCATCCCTACATAGGATTCTAAAACAGAAGTTAAAATACATTAAGCAAAAACTATGGCAATCTACATGAAGTATGGGCTTTGGTAAGAAATCACTGACTAACGTCGATCCATTAATTGTGAGAAATGTGCCATGTTCATGTGAAATCTTAATGGGGAAAGGGGGTGTGGAGAAAACTACCATCCCCAAATTTTTCTGTAAATCTAAAACTGTTCTAAAATAGAAAATGGTTTTGCTTAGTAAGTGCTTCTCTCAAAATAAAGGCTATTTTTGCTGTGATCAAGGGTGAGATCACTGGGTGGGAAGCTCGGTTCTAATTATTTCCTGCATGAGCCGGGCCATCTGCCATGCCTCTCCGCACCTCGGTCTTCTCACCTCTAAAATGTAGATGTCGAACTAAAACTTAGGTGTCAGATCTGTGAAGACAGCAATTCCCTGAAGTGACTGACAGAGCATGGGGAGAGTTTTACACTAACCCGAATGTCAAGGTCCCACACAAAAGAAAACCCAAGCAAGGGGCTGGGGATTTAGCTCAGCAGCAAAGCGCCTGCCTGGCAAGCACAAGGTCGTGAGTTCAGTTCCTGGTACCGGAGAAAAACCAAAAAAAAAAGAAAAAAAAAAAAACCTAACGAAAAGAAAAGCTGGTTTTTTTTTAATTACCAAATAAGGGGAGGCTTATCAAGTTCAACCGAAACCCAGAAACCAATAAAAGCATGATAAATTCAACTACATAAAAATGTTAAGTTCTACAACCTAAGCAATGAGGATACAAGGATATTCCTTGCAACATTGCTCGTAATAGCAATGATTGGAAGCAGCTTAAATTCCCATTGCTAGAAGACTAAATAAATTCTGACACATGCAAGCAGCTATTACGTAGCTCCTATGCAGACACACAGGAAATTCTGTGTACCGGCGGTGTGTTATTAAGTGAAAGAAGCAAGGTATACAAGTGCATCAGTTAAGTTACCATGTGATGAAGAAGCATCTGTGCGTGTTTGTAAGTATGTCAAATATCTCAGGACAAGGGGAGATTTTAAGTGGTTATCCCCTTTTTTGTACTCCACAAAAATATTACCTATACATGCTCAAAAATTTTTAAATGCTGTTGTAGTTTGGGGTTTTGCAAGGGGAACGGTACAATACAGGACATGTATTTTATAAGATTATTTTACAGTAGTCACCCAAAGAATCATATACAAAGAGAGTGCGGGAAATCTGCCCACACACTAAAGACCAAAGAGTCCGGCTGAGGGCCTGGATGAGTCCAACTGAAGACCTAAAGCCTATAACAAGGCTCCCCATGAGTCCAACTGGAGGCCAACAGCCCACAACAATGTTTCCTGCAGGCTTGTTTCACACATCTGAGCTGGGAAGGCCCAAAGTAGTGGAAGTAGCCAAAGTACTGGAAGCTAGGTGTTACCTAGCTAGGTGTTACCTTGAAAGCCTGTGACAGAGAGCAAGTGTCAAGAAACTGCTGGCTATTTCTATTGCAAGACAATCTCCTCCTTTCTTCCTCCCCAGAGGCCTCCTCCCAGCCCCCAACTCCAGCCTGCAAGTCTGGACAGGGATAGATGGAACCTAGTTTCCTCACAGTGGAAGATGGACCCGGATGGAAGCACATGGTGGTGGTGGTGCGGTGACCCTCTGGAGGAGACCCAGATGTCCAGGTGCTCTTCCTGCTGGCCTTTCCCGGCTCCTGGCACTGGCGCGGGCCAGGTGAGGCTCGGGTTCTGTCCATGGCAGGGGCATGAACACAGGCTCCTTGAGGAGGTGCCTCCACCTCAGGACAGGAACAATCTTTCAGGAAACCGTCACAAAAATCTCCTGTTTGACAGGCAGGTGGACACACCGAAATCCAGGAAGAACAGAGTTCTCAGATTCCATTCACTGCTTTATTTCAAGGGGAGACACAGCGCCCCCTATTCTCTCACTTGGTCCTAGCACTTTTGAGCGGGAATACCAGGACTGACCCCAGGGCCTGCAGCGTTCACACTGAACTACATCCCCAGCCTTGCGTGCACCACCACACCCAGCTCTTAGCACTTTATTTTTACTGCTAGCTTTGTCTATTTCTCACCCCAGAATATAAGCTTGCTGGGGGCTCTTCTTTATTACTAGAGCGATCATACGAACAGTGCCCCTAGCTGAGCAGTCGCTTAGGAGAGACTAAGTAGAATTGCTCCTCATTGCTCCTTCCCCCCAGCACCTCCCCTCGCCACAGACTGTCCCGAGGGTAGACCTGTCTCTCCAGTCTCTCCCTGCCTGGTCCAGGCCTTGTGCACTCAGCTGTCAGACCCAACTTCTCAGAGGAGGAAATCGGAACTTGCTATTTTCCCTTGTAACCGCCCTTCTCCAGCGGTTCCCCTCCCCACTTAGAGTTCACACTCACCCTTCTCATCCTGCCTCCACCGTGGCAAGATCTGAACACACTCATCTCCACCATCTCCCTGCTCACTGGCCTCCTCTCTGCTCCCTCGGACATCTGGCCCCTTCCAGCCCTTAGCTTTCACATTTTTAACTTTCCCCTCCTGGACTTGCACCTCCTGTTTCCTTCTGGCTTTGACTGCCTCTAGCAAAAGGGGGGTGGGGCATGGCAGTCCCAAGATGACAAAACTCCATAGAAACTGATTGGGAGTCTCTGAGTCGTAATTCCACGTCCTGGGCGTAAATTCTTGGCCCCATCATGCAGGTGTCATGCTTTAAACAGGGCTCCGGGTACAGCCTACACCCTCATCCCTTCCTCCCACCCCTCCTGTCATCCTGCAGTCTGTCTACAACGACAGCACTTTGCAAACCATACATTTCAGGTAAGTATTGTCTTGGTTATTTTTCTCTCGTTGCTGAGACAAAATACCCAACGCCCAAAATGAAGGAAGGAAAGGTTTATTTAGCTCACAGTTTGTGGAGGTTTCAGTCCATACTTGGCTGGCTCCGAGGCAGAAGGTAGCAAAGCAACAAGAGTGGGTGATTACTAAGTCAGCCCAATTATTGGTTTGGCATCTACCTAATCCCAGAAACTGGATGCAATAAAAGGGATGGAAAGAGACCTCTCTCCCTTTCTCTCTCTCTCTCTCTCTCTCTCTCTCTC